TCCTTTCCAGCCACTCGTCCCCAAGCCTGCACTGTCCATGGGATTATTGTGACCGAAGTGCAGGACCCAGCACTTGGCCTTGTTCACCTCATCACTCACTGTCACCCACTTCAGAGCCAGGAGAGAAAAGCATTTCACTCCCAGCTGAAAAATCTGCCCTTAAGGAACCACACTGCAGCAAAGCACTCCCTGTCTCAGAAAACAAACACCAAACCCTTCCCAAAACTCTGAGGCTGTGGAAAGCCTGGGTAGTTATGTCTGTCTCCAGAGCATAGCCTGCTCCTGGCTGTCAGCAACATGGGCAGAGCCTTGGCAGGGCTCGACTCTGTGGCTTGATTTGCCCCCTAAGAGAGATCTGGGATCCCCCACAGGAGAAATGGCCAATCTGGATACCCCCAGGCTGCCCCAAGCCATCCAGGACCCCACGACACATCCTGGACCCCACGATCGCTGCCCTTGGGTCCCACACAGAGCAGGCTGCAGCTGGGGACAGCAGCAGCACTGAGTTTGCCATTTCCCCCCCCGCTTCAGTCCCAAATTACTGCCACCTCTCAATGGTTTGGTTAATTAATACCACTCCGGCCAGTACCTACCACAGCAGCAAAGTAAATGGGCATCAGCGGGTGGCAGGCCAGGAAGAAGTCGTATAATCGCACGACGTGCCTGAAGTCGGACAGGACGTGCCCAAACCAGGTGATGAGCCAGCTGAGGGCAAAGATGGTTCCCACCTCCGCGCTGCACAGAGAGAAAGCGGTGTTAGGTCAGACAGAAACAGCACGGAAATGCTCCTGGTGAGAGAACCTGAGTGTGTGATGCACGATGTCACTGTCACGCTGGCCTGAGGACACCTGCAGCCCTGCAGCACAGACTCCTTTCCACCCCAAAGCTTGCTCACTTCTGGGAGTCTGCAATCAGGCGTGGTACCCAAAAACACCCTGGCCATGAAAGGTAAGAGACACTTGCCCAGAAAAGGGCTCTAGACCAAACCTTTCCACCTACCTTTCTGCTGCTGCTTTATTCTGTCCACACTATGCACAACCTGGGTATTATCCCCCCCCAAAAAAAACCACAGCAGGGTGACAGCAGCCACAAAACGGGGCACCTGAAGCAGCTGGGGCAGCTTTGTATGACACCATCCATAGCCCCCAGCCTTTCCAGAGGCAGCAGAGTGCTGGGGTGACACTGTTTAAAACCCCTCCAGACAAGCAGCACAGCTGTGGGTTTGCTCAGCAGCAGAGCCCGTGGCTTTGGGCTGTCACCGTAGCCGCGGGCTGCGTTGACTCGCTCTGGAAAAGCCACCGTGGTGCTGGGGACACGCTGGTGCAAACGGCCCCGCGAGCAGTGACACGGGACCAGCAGGGGAGAGCTGTGAGGCTCCGAGGGAATGTCTGCGTACCTCTGCATGAAGTCATGCAGCTCAGGGTTCACCTGGTCTATGATGGGCATCAGGTAATTTAAAATGTGCTTGGTATTATCCATCGTCGGGTCCATAAAATCCCTGGGGAAAAGATGGAAAAGCAGCTCTGTCAGTGAGCTCCTCTCCAGGGAGGCAGCCAGAGGGTAAATAAAGGTACTCACAATAAAACAGCTCTGCTGGCAGGGTGGCCCCAAGCCCCGAGGAGCTCTGTCCGTTTGGGACAGCCCCTTCCTGCCTATTGGGAACACACAGGGCTGATCTGCCCCGAAAATCCAGGTCCAGATGTGTGAACCATAAAGCCTTTCCAGCACCCAAAAGTGAACTCTTACTGGGAGAGGAGGGAGAAGCTCTCCAAAAACTCCTCATTTGAAGGTTTGTTCTCATTTCAGCGCACAAACAGCAGTCACTTGAGTTGGGGTGCAGGTCACTGCCTGTACAGAGCCCCCTTCCAGTGCAAAACTGCCCAGGGCCATCGAGGCTCAGTGGGAGGCACCGCGCTGAGCCAGCCCCCAGGAGCCAGAGAGGCCCTGACAGCAAAGAGCCCGGAGAACCATGAACAATGCACACACGTTGGCTTTTTCAGCTTCAAGAGATGCCTCAAATTAACTGACAGCCTTCAATTATCCCTTCCCCAGAGCACAACGCCCTGCAAAGCCACGTCCTATCGTGTGGTCACGCTGCTTTCACAGCACCCCTCTGGGTATGGACAGGACCAGCAGCCAGCCCTGACCCAAGGCTCTGCCCCCCAGGGTCCCCTTCCAGGCCAGCCCCAGCTGCAGGGGTGTCCCCACAGCTCGGGGACACGCAGGCCTCCAGCAAACCCACTGCCTACCTGAGATGATGCGTCGAGAGCTTTTCCACCAGGGCCGTGGCCAGTCTGTCCCCCACCACCAGCAGGAAGGTGACCACGATGTCATGGTAGCCCTGGTAGTAGTGCAGCTGGGGGTTGCGCTTGAGGACGTGGAGGATGATATCGATGAGCTCCTCCTGCAGCCCTTCCCTCTGCTCATCCGGCATCCCTGCGGGGACAGCACCAGGGGCTGTGTCACCTACCAGCGAGGACAGGACCTGTGCATTTACCAACCTGCCTCATCCCAAGGGATGTGGTGCAAAGGGGCGTGTGTGAAACCAGCAGAAAAAAACAAGTATCACAGA